GGCACATAGACCATTACTATACACACAAACATTGGTTAAACTTTCCAGCTATGCTGACACCACTGGGCACCTGGTCCTTCAACAACAAGGTCGCCTGGCTAGATAGGCAAAGGCCTAATAATTTAATAAATCAGTAAAGTAAATTTGCATTTTTCCTAACCTCTAGGCCCTAGATACGGCCTTTGGTAATAGCTTGGCCTAGTGTAGTACTAGGCCCTTAGTGTAGAAGAAATTCGAAAGAACGCTAAAGGCCTATAGCCTAGGCCTATTTTGGTTTTCAGATGTTTCAGGTTAGCAGCATTAGCAGGCCACAGGTGTTAGCACGGTAGCTAAAGTAAATTTGCAAGTTTACTAACTTCTCTAAGCACCCTAGGTACGGCCTTGGTAATAATTTTATAAACTACTGTACGATTGGGTTTTCAGACGTGAAGATTAAAGGTGAAATAAAAAACGAGTAACTCCTGCAGTTACCGCGTTAGTTTGAAATATATATTAAAAATGCATTTTAAAGGAGTCTTTATGTGAATACAAAACAACATATTAGTTTGAAACCAATCGGACGTGTCAAACCTCAGTTATCCTAAATAACCTGATTAGTGAAATATTAATTAGGCAAAAACAACAGGCTCCATCTTCTTATTACAATCTTGCATTCTGCCAAGTTGGAAACCAATCAGACTTAGTAAATTTTAGTTTTCGTGTTAACAAACCACGACAACGGCGCAACATAGAACAGAGGTGAAAAAAGTAACCTACCCGGAGCTTCGCTGGTTTGGGGGGGGGGGGCTAATAAATAAATAAGATACATATGGTGGTTATACAATGGGGAAAAAAGTGCCTGTAAAATGTGTTACCTCCTTTACATTATAGAAAAATAGCAAATATAGACAAACTCACACCCACACTGCATAGACTCAGAAGCATGAAATCAAACAAAATCGTGAAAATGCGTAATGGTAAATCCGGTAAGCATTGGAGGTGATGCATTTGGGTTTTTCAGGGTTTCATGTTTTTTTTTAATTATTATTTATTTAGCTAGTACACTGCAACTAGTATACACTTGTTATGCTAAATTGAAGGAAAGAATTCCTTTACAATGCGTTTTGGCATAAATTGGCATATCGTTCCATACATTTGAACCTGAAGATACAGACCGTAACAATAAAACGTTATTTTTTACTATGTTAGTTGAAATCTAATAAAGCATTGTATTATTTTTATCACCTGCCTCTATCACCAGTAAGGTTGCATTTGCTGAAAATAAAATTCTTGACCTCCGTGGTGGTCGCTTACTAAAGGTAACATACTATAAATCCATTTGAAAAATGGGGACAATATGTTTTCCCATAGCAGAATGGAAATACAATTATAATTTATAAAATCACAACATTAACGGGTAACGCTTCTAATCTCTCTGTTATTTTTTATTTAAATGCTCAGTAATTTATTACAAATGTAAAAAAAATAATAAATGCATTGTTTTTAAGTGGCCAGTGGCCATCCGGGAAAAAAAGCCACCCCCATCGCTTGCTACTTATTGCCACCCCGTAGCGCCGCCACTGCTATTGCTTTTCGCACCCTGGATGATCTCCGCAATGCAATTCAACAAAAGGACGCAAAACTTCGCCCTCGAACATAGCGCGTACTGCGTACAGTCCTTTTATCTTTACTAGTTGCGAGTACAGCCGTCAAATAATAGTCTATGCGTGCCATACGTTTTATAGTGTTAGTCTATTTTATTAATTATTTTGGGTATTTCACTATGTATGTTACATCTGATTTCTTTTGACCACGAGCTTGTTAAATGTTTCTATAAACTAAAATCTGATTCGTGAATACTGACCAACAATATGAAAAGTTATAGCCACAGCAAATTTCTGATTTTTATAAAATTCATGTTCTTATATAACATTAAACTGTCATTTTAACAATGTTGGACTAAGGTGCACAAAACGAAAATTTGAGTAGATAGAGGAAATGTATTTATTTTTTCTGCTAAGTGAGTCTCATGAACGACAATACACCACAAAATCGGTAAAATTAATGTTAAAATAATGAATATAATTAATTTCAGGATAATGGTAGTGTAAAATATCATTAGGCCTTTGTAATCACCGCACGACGCGCGATTATCATAACAACTAACACGCGCGTGGTAATTTGTCACACGCTGACGCTTAATTATGGTTTGGTTGCTATGGTTTTTGTGACGCATCAGCATGTTGACAACAGTTGTGTGTATATATTATGGTAAATTTGAAATATGAATCTAATTGTTACCTTTTTCTATTTCCAGTGGCTGCCAGAAATTACACATTATTGTCCAAACACGCCATATATTTTACTTGGTACAAAAATTGATTTACGAGATGATCCAGATGCAATTGAAGAACTACGTAAGAGAAATCAAAAAGCAACGTCTGTAGAGGAAGGAGAAACACTAGCTAAAAAACTGAAAGCAGTGCAATACATTGAATGTTCAGCTAAAACACAGGTTTGAAAATCAACTCATAAATTTAATTAATTGATTTTTTACTAATAACAGTCTGATACTTAACCAAAGTGCTCTGGGTACTACGGTAGAAGTCTTTCTTATACATTGTTGAAATTTTATCTCCAACTAGTAAAAAAATGCTGGAAATATTTTGTCGTACCTAGAAGGCCTTTGTGTCATTTTTAAACATTTAAAAAATTCTATATTAGCTCTTATCTTTGTAAAACTTTGATCATTTTGGAATTTCTTCCTAATAATAACATAACACTGGTCTTTGAACACCACGAACTTGTTGAAATCGTTTCATCATTGCAAGCTACTGCGGATGGTAACAACACTTAGGCATGTTTTTTTATTTAGTATTTTTAGCTCCAGGGCTAAAGCCAAACAGTGAACTGAATCACTGTATACTGGTACACCGTTTGAAAAACACACATAAATAAAAAATGCTCAACATAAACTAAGTCTCATAATGAAGCTAATGAAGCGAAAAGTTGTTTTGGTAGTGAGAAAAGATGCTGCCACCGTGACAAAAATTGAACCACGTACCCTTGGATTAAAAGGCAACTATCTACACCAACAAGTTAAACTATTCAGTTCCATTCCAGGTGACCATAGGGATACAATTGCGCTTCTTAACCGCAAGCAAAATTAGATATACAAGCAATTTCTTAGTAACCATTAGCAAATATAAAGAAACGGAGGGATGTATCGGTGTGTGTTTCATTGCTTTGACTCATTTACTGATACAGTAGTGTAATAGTAATTCGCCATTGTAGTTGCACTCACCCCTAAATTAAGAAAGAAAGATGAAAAAATACAAGTTTATCTGTTTGAAAATTGAAAGAAACATATATTTTATATATATTTTTCCATTTTTTTTTTTTTTTTTTTTTTGGAGATAAGAATTTAATAATTTTATGGGTTTGCTGAATTAATCAGACAATATTTTAATACTCTGTGTTATTTTGTTCTTTTTCAGGAAGGAGTGAGAAATGTATTTGAAGAAGCTTTATTGCTTGCGTTGAAACCTCCAAAACCACCACGTGAACCAGTCAAGAAATGTCAATTGCTGTAAACGTTAATCCTAAATTACAACAATGCTGCGTTAAGTTCACGAAAGAGTATTCTGAACTAAAAACATCACTAAACACTAGACCGGAATATTAAAAGAAGACCTACTCACATCGTTTCCGGAATTTCTACTATTTTTGTTTTCATTCTAAATTAATTGCTTACAGGCACAACCTTTAAATAGCCGAACATGCATTGTAGTTGCCCCATAGTTTCCTAAAATACAATGAGTGTTTTTAAAGGGAGCCAAATGTACTCTGAATTTTAGTTTTAAACATGAAGTTTACCGATTTAATATAATTTTAGAACTGATTTAGCATAATCATGTACATTAAATCTATTAATCTATAATCTATAGATGATAACATGGATCGAGTTGTAATACAAAGTGGCGGCGACAGAGTTTAATACAAAGTGCGAAAGCTCATTTTATTACAAAGTGCAACTACAAAGTGCGACATACAGTTACTACAAATTACGACAGCTCCTTTATTACAAAGTGCGACGATTATTACAAAGTGCGACGCAACACGTGTTTGTATGTAAACGGAGAGGCAGCTATTGCAATGTAACGTTCGATGCACACGGCACTTATACTGAATAAGAAACATGGAATCCAATACTGCGCCTAATTTGCGGAGTTTCTTGGATGAAATAACGATAAGTATAACGAAAGCATTCTCCATGGCTACCATGACCCCAATCAAAATAAATAATTTATGCCCAATACCATCCGTTGGCGGCGGGTATTTTAGAGCTGAATCATTGAGGTGGTACAGGTCTTCGACTACATAATACATATGCTCTTGTTTTTAAACTGAAAAGAAAACCATAATGCTTTTATTTTATTGCAGTGTATTTTGTTCTGGTGAGAAACACACCAACATGAACATCAGGAAAGTCTAAATACTAGGGTCCTCCTGGTTGCAAATTTGACAGGAGTACCGTTAGGCAATCCCCTTTTTCTTTTCCGAAGTGCACTTTGTTTTTATGTTGTCATTGGAAATGTGAATAAACTGAATGTGCTTAAACTTGCATTTTAGCTCAAATAAGTTGATGACTTAACAATAGTCGTCAACGGCAATGGTAAACGTCCCCTACCAATTATGCAAAACAAATTCTTAGAGCTTGAATTTTGGTCTGACCAGAATGGTATGCGACTTAACGTTGACAAATGCAAACGTATGTTTGTCAGTTTTATGAAGGAACCACCAAAACCCCAATTAAACTTATTATCACAAACAATAATGGAAGTTGAAAGTTATTAATGTTCTTGGTGTCCTAATTGAAATAAGCTTAAGTGGGATTCGCATGTTACTAACATTGTTTATAGAGTTAACGGTAAATTATTTATGTTAAAACTATTAAAGAAATTCAGACCAGAATTGATCACAATATGTAAAGGTTATGTACGTTCACTATTGCAATATGCTACCCCAGTTTGGAATTCTGGCCTCACTAACCTACAAATTTATATGTTAGAATCTCTGCAGAAAAGAGCTCTTCGAATCATTTTGGGTAACAGTTATACATCTATTCTATTGCAATATGCTACCTCAGTTTGGAATTCTGGCCTCACTAACCTACAAATTTATATGTTAGAATCTCTGCAGAAAAGAGCTCTTCGAATCATTTTGGGTAACAGTTATACATCTATTCTATTGCAATATGCTACCTCAGTTTGGAATTCTGGCCTCACTAACCGACAAATTAATATGTTAGAATCTCTGCAGAAAAGAGCTCTTCGAATCATTTTGGGTAACAGTTATACATCCTATAATGATGCATGTACCTTGTGTAATCTAGACACGCACAGCAAACGTAGATTACTTATTTGTAAGAATTTGCTAAACAACTAAAAAAACACCCTGAATTCTGTCAGTGGTTGCCCGAGTTGCGGTGTGATAGAATGAATTACAAACTCAGAAATGGTAGTAAAATATCCCAGTTAAAGTGCAACACTTCCAGATCCAGATTTCTTATTGATTTATTGAATATGGATAGTACTTTCCTCCCCCAATTTCAATTAAAGAGCAGTGTACCTTTTATCTTTTTCTTTTTACTTAAAATGTATCATTAATTTACGGTAATTAATTATCTTTGTGTTTTTATTAATTATTGAATTTATCTTCAACTTTGCTTTTGTTAATTTATTATGAATAATTGTAATAATCACTATAATAAATAATAATGATCACGTTTTTTATTTCTTGTGCAATAACCGAATAAATACTTAATTAATGAATATTTTGAATATTTTGAATTAAAGAATAGGACTAATGTATTTTTTTTTTCTTTTGCAATATTCAAATAACTATTTAATTAATGAATATTTTGAATTAAGAATACGACTAATTAAAACTTATTATAATGATGAATTTGGAGTTGTTGTTTTTTTTTCTCTTTTGAATGTTTTTTATTGTTCCTGTGCTTTTTTCAATTTTGTAATATGAATTATTGCTATTATTACTATAATTAATTATGACCTTTTTTGGATTAAAGATTTGAATGTCCTTTTTTAATAATGATATCTTACATTTTTCAATTATTTCTCTTTATGAATGTTTTTATTACCCTATGCTTTTTTGATTTTTAAATATGTTTATTGTAAACAGTTGTTCTTATGCTAATGTAACTTCTGCTTTTTTAGTATTTATTTACCTTTTGTCAACTGTTTTTTGCTTGTAAATATAACGCAATTTAGTTCTTTACACTACACTGTTATATTTGGCAATTTCTTTTTAACTTTGTATTGTAATTTTTGAATTTTTGAATAAATATACCATGAGAATTAGCTCTCCAGCAAAAACACAAGTGGTAAGCAGCATTGGAATTGACCTTTCAATCAAATATTCTGTAGATAAATCTTGTACACATAAACATGAACGCATAGTTATACTTTGAGGTGATTTTCTGCAAATGTTGTTATATTCACTGACTGCATAAATCCCATCGAAACTCAACGTAAATTGTAATACATAGTGTAAAATTTGCACTAATACCATAATGCCCACCTTAATCAATTGATATCAATGTGCCTTATCGTAAAGGTGATATTGTTAATTGGTCTTTCTCCATGGGTTATCCAAGGAAAGAAAAATTACAAATATCATCGATTTCTGTTTAGACTAGATGCCTATAATGGTTCAATTCAATGAACCGGTATAAATTTAATATAGCTTTTAAGCTGGTTTATTAACCAAGGTTGAACTCTCCTTGTAATAACACACAGAAGTATGAATAATAGTTAGAGTGGTTGTCTCATAGTAACCTGCAATTAATTTTTTTCGGGCTCACATGATTTTTTTTTCAAAATTAGATTTGGATACCGCGAGTCCATACGCATTCGTAGCAATATGTGTGCTTTGTTGGTTGACTGTCTTCCGATGGACCGTCGGCAAACGAATCCGTGCACGCAAGTACGCCTCTTGGCCGGCGCAACGACGGTTAACGGTTCGTCGTCGAAAATTTGCCTTCGAGCGACACTTCATCACGTGGCGTCTAACGCGTGGGCTACAGACTGGAGTGTTCGCCGAGCTTATCATGAAGGTTAATGTACCGGTAAAGTCAACCTGAGATACAGACCCTTTAAAACGCACTGATAAATGTTGTCATTCAGAAGACGAATTTATTATTGTTAATGCAACTGTGGTACATTCCAACCAAATTGAGTCTCGGGTTAGGAGGTTGCAAATCGATTAAAAGCTAGCTGTATAGCTACAGAACCATTAATAAAGCGGTACAAAAGAACGCAATCAGATTAATTCTACCTTGATATGAATTAACTACTGTCTGCTTCGCTCCTTCATAAATTTTTAACTCGTAACATAATTATTTTAAGTGCACATGAACCAATTGTGTACACTGGACCTGCGATTAAAAATCCACAACCATAATTAGGCGAGTGTATTGTTCGGTATTCAGGCACAGGGCGATGGTTGCACCCTGTGGAATGACTGCTCTAGATATAGTTTCTCAACGAGATTTATATTACTGAACAAACATTGTTAGGCCTACAATAATTATTAATTATGATGAAGGTGATGAAAATTACGAAAATATAAAAAATAAAATTCCCCAGGAGAGGATCGAACTCTCGACCTCCGCATTACTTGAGCAGTAAGGACGAAACCAAGTACTGTTTATAAGTACGGCGCGCTAACCGACTGAGCCACTGGGGAACACGTTTGTGAAGAGGCAATACAATCTCGTTGTATGATACTGTAGTTTCATTTCATTTATTTATTTGACACCCGGTTTCCGGGACTTCTAAAAAAGCAATTGCCTCTATAAATAAGTTAGCCAAAAGTTCCAACATAACACCAAAAAACATAGGCCTATATACAATAAAAATTCAATTATGACTGCTCTAGATATAAGTTTTCAACTAGATTTATATTACTGAACAAACATTGTTAGGCCAACTATAATTATTTATTATGATAAAGAAGATAAAAATGATGATCCAACTCTCGACCTCCACATTACTTAGCAGTAAGGACGAAACCAAGTATTGTTTAAAAGTAAGTTAACCGATTGAGCCATTTGGGAACACGTTCGTAAAAACGCAATGCAATCTCATTGTAGGATATAGTCTGTCATGACCAAAATGTAAATTAGTAGGCCTATAATCATGGCACTGGCAGAGCGAATCAAGGAATGAACGAATGAATAAAGGGACACAGGGATGAACGAGCTAATGAACGAAAGAAGGAACGAATGGACGAGCGAGCAAACGAACGAACGGCGGACAACTGGACCGACGAATGTACTTTCCTTACTTCAGGATCAATTGGCTTCACGTAAAAAAAAACCAGAAAAGTAGATCAGTTTTCATAGGACGTACCGAGAGAGTGCAGTAAGGCCCATTTCTTGGTGTGGAGGATTCACATCCCCTTAATATAACCAAAACAAAGCATTATTTTTAAAAAAATGTACTGTATTATCCTATGAAAAAGGTAAATCCATACAGCCAGTTTCTATTTTGTTCCTAATTGAGTATTAGCCAATCAGAATCTTAAATAGCAGCCTTTTTGATAACGGATTTATTATATTCGCTGCGTTGTTTGCGCTCATTTCAACATCTTATAGGCCAAGTTAGTGTGTTCAATCTGCGGCATAACCTTTGATACACACCAAGCGGATGTGATTACTGGTTCTGATAATGTCTTCATTATTGATTGTAGTAAAGGTAAGAGGTTTTTTATCCAAAGTGGTTTTATGACATAATAATATACTTTTAGTGTAAAGGTTCAAGATATAGTTTGACCTGTTTTAATGTTCATAACTATTTATTACAGATTGTGGTGATTGCCATCTCAATCAAAATAAATGCAGGTAAAGTACATTCTCCTTATACCATTAATAATTTTAATATGAATGCTAAGTTCAAATTAATTCATCGTTTATATTATTACTAGTTTAAAACTAGTCTTCGGGACTTATTTTAATGAAGCAGGGTGTTTGACAAAAACTCGGGAACAGTTAATGAGGAACAGATTTTTTAATATTTTCTCCAAGTTTATAAATATTTAAAAATCTGTATTTCGTTAACCAACTCCAGGTTTTTCATCAAACGCCTTTTTTTGTCTTAGAAAATATCAAAATATTTTTTTTCTAGATTTAATGCAAAAGGCAAAACAATTGCATTTTTTTAAATTCTAACTAGTATTAATAACAATAAAGTAGTGAGGAGCAGTAGCAGTAGCAGTAGCAGCAGCAGTAGCAGCAGTAGTAGTAGTAGTAGTATTAGTAGTACTAGTAGTAGTGCGATAGCACCGTCTGAAATCCGCCCTAGTGAACAACGTAACTTGTTCACCTTCGATAATAACATTATAATCATAAAAAATAAAGCATTATATAGCGAATAAAACTGAACCCTTATGCAAACTTAAACGTTTTAACCCACTGTTGTGCCAATTTCAGAATATCTTTCGTATGGGAGGACTGCAACGTATTCCTCAATATCTGCTGACAGCGATCCAGCAACATTAACGGATGGGATAGACAGCGTAAGCACTTCGACGGAATGTTTTAGTACTGGTAAGGGAGCCGGAGCAAACATTCCGGTTATTTTATTAGGGATTTTGCACCCTCCTTGTGCCACTTCCTCCACCCCTCACGGGTTGCTATTTGCTCTCAGTCCAAATTATTACCTCTGACTTGTTACGTTCTTTAACTGTAACAATGAATAAACTAAAAGATAAAAACCTTCAAAAGCGTTTTAAACGTTAGAAATATCTTATCGTCTACGTCTGCCACCAGAGCATTTCAACGTTCCAGAAGCCTAATTCACGGAATTATAAGCTCGGGGGTGAGGTATGAGCTCCCTGCGCCCATTTGATATGGAATTTAAATGAAAGCAACTTATTGATCGATGTGATTTTCAGGTGAAGCTATTAACATTAAATTTTGCAAATCTATACTTGGTTTTAATAAAAAAAAAAAAAAAAAAAAAATACATTGAAACATGCCATTAGAGGTGAATAAGCTCCTATCTAGTGGCGAGAAATTTTTTCAGAATGTCCTGTCATTCGTAAGATTTTTGATATCGCTAGTGTTTTTTTTTCATTTTTTTTTATCTCTGTGTCCTTCTATTTAACTTCTTATTCATCTATTCCTTCATCAACAGGGGTGGCACCAGAATTTCCCCGACGGGAGGAGGGCCGATGTCTCCGACGAAAAAAGTGGGCGTGGTCAGACGTCGCTCACAACCTCTAGAAAATGTTCCAGGGGGTCAAAAATGTGTCAATTTCAAAAGCTTATTTAATCGATTTTAGAGTCTGCCAATATGTAGAAAATACTTATACATTTTTTTCCCCGACGAATTGTGGTTTTTCTACCCGACGAGGGCCCCTGTCCTCCGGCCACTCCTTGTTCATCAATCAATCTAACAATCCATTTATTCATGAATCTAATCAACCATCGCTTCCACTATTTCACGTCTATTTCCTCAATTGATTTATTCATACCGCTTTAACATTTCATACTCCTTTATATATCCACACACTCTCTCCTCTTCATCACTCCACAATCCATACACCTATTATTTCTTACACTATCTTTCCATCCATCAGTGAACCATCCATCAATAATCAATTCATTATACCGTCTATGTCAGGGGTGGCCGTTTGCTGTTTTATGGGTTTTTCCCATTTGCCTTTTAAAATCATATATTATAGAATATCTATTGAGATCCAGCGGGCCGCCATTGATGCACGGTAGAGATTTCATCTTTAGATCTCCGATCTTGTTCACAAATTCACGGACTAGTGCTGTCTCGTAAGAATTTCGTAGGACGCGTTAAGAATGACAAAATATTCTCTGTATCTACTGGAAC